TCAAAACACTCTTTTTCAAAAAGCAATATTTAAATTTTTTCAAAAAAAACATGTTAAATATGACCTGGCGACAAGAGGCTGCCTACTACGAGAATAATTACAAAATCAGTATTGGTGGAAAGGACCAAAATGGTTAAATCAGACAGAAGAAGTATGGCCAAACGAATTACGTTATAAAAAACCGGGAAATGGAATATGGGAAGACGAATATCAAAACGAAGTGTTCTACATAACTGAAAAACCTTTTTGGATCAAGGTAGCAGATTATTCGAATTGGTTCAAGCTACTACGAGTAGTAGTATACGTACTACAATTCTTAAAAACAAAGATATGGATAAAATTATCTGATGCCTTGAAAGGGAAGTACCTTGTGATATTTTTAATCTTTAAACATATAAAAGAAGATAGTTTCGTAAGTGCTAAAGAACAACAAGGTGCGGAATATCTCCCAAGAGACTGGGACAGCAATACATATTCAATAAGCAATTCAGGGCGGTAGCAAAGGGGACAAAGGAGAAACTCAAGGACCAATTAGGATTATACGAGAAAGATGGTATACTCAGATGCGCTAGACATTACAAAAATTTACTATTGAAGCAAGATACGAAATATCCAGCATTAATAGCTCATCAAGGACAATTAGCACGTTTAATTATAAACGAAGCGCACTTAAGGACCATGCATATGGGACTTCAAGCTACACTTACTGAAGTTCGACAGAAATGGTAGATAACGAAAGGACGTGTGACAGTAAAAAAGTACTCAAGACACTGCATAATTTGTAAAAAGTATCAAGGGAGACCATACGCGCTTTCAAATATGCCATCATTACCAGCATTGAAAGGTAAGCCTTGCAGGCCGTTTGAAATAATAGGTTCAGATTATTTCGTTCCTATATCACTTAGACTTGAGGAAAATGAAAAGACAGCTACCAAACGGTGGGTTTGTATTTTCACCTGTTTAGTAACGCGGAATATTCATTTAGAAGTAGTACACGATGTGACGACAACAAATTTCTTAAAAATATTAAAGTTTGAAGAATTTAGATTGCTGATGTATGAAATTGCAGCTATAGTAAACTCTAGGCCATTGACTTATGTCTATGACAAGGTGTCATCCACTACAATACGCCCTATGGATTTTTTGCGTATGGTGGTCCAACTGGTCTTGCACCAGTAGGAGCCTTTGATGATCTAGATTACGTCCCTCCGCAAGAACGGAAGGAATTGTTCAATTTGTATAAAGCCAGTATGATACTTACAGAAAATTATTGGCACCTCTTTGAAGACAAGTATTTGTTAAGTCTTAGAGAACGCCAAACAATGGTACACAAAGAACAAAGGCAAGCAGAACAAAGAGCACCACGAATTGGCGATGCAGTTCTTGTTAGGGAAATTGACCTCAGGCGATGAGAATGAAAACTAGACAGAATAGAGGGGATCACAATGCGACATGGCTACATAAAGGCTCTCACAGTTATTTTACCAAATCACACGTCTGTTGAGCGGCCGTTGTCGTGGCTTTATCCGGTGGAATCAACGTCGGTTTAAATAGTTTTGAAATCTCCATTTTGATACATTTCCAATTCATTCAATTTCTTGCTTTAATTTTGAAACTTTATATTCAAATAAATCTATAAAGTTAAATTTCAATTTCAGTTTAAACCTTATTATGTTTTTTACTTTATAGCGTTTGTTTATTTTTAATTTAAATCATTTAATTTTAATTTTTTTTTTGTATTTTTTTCTTCAAAGTTAAATTTTTCTGGTTTTATTTTTTTTTTCGTTTGAAGTTTATTCGTTCACGTCGTAAAATTTTCTTCTTTTTGTGAAGTGTCTCCAGTGTCTTTTAAACTATTTCATACTTTTGCTTTTTATCTTCGGGACGTTCTCGGACTTACTCTATCAATACATTATGCCATCAATTTTGTCTTGGTCTGCTACTGTTCAACTTTCGAAACCGGGGATTTATATCGTATCACAAGTGAAGCGAGGCTACGTTATTTTGCTTTTGGATATTGATAACGAGGGAAATAACGATCTTCTGAAGGAGGCACCCGTTTTGATACAAATCGTAACAAGACGGTTATTGAATCCAACGGATCCAATTCTAGTAAGGTCGTACCAGTTGTGTATCTTCCAAAGGAAGCAGGCGGAGTTACCACTTTACGGGTAAGTAAAAATAAAATCCTTCTTGTATCAAGGAAAATTGAGACCAACCGCCCAGACTGCAGACTATCATATCATCTCTAAAGCTGAATCCTTTATGATCCCAGCTTTTGTTCAGTACGCCAAAACTGGACCTCTTACAGTTTCGATCTCAGCAAAGGGCGTAATTGGCGAAGAGCGGGTTGATGAAGAAAGAGTCCACGTCAAAAGAGTATCCAGAGTAGGAGATGTTTTGCAGGCAGAAGTAGTTGCGTTACTGTTGGGAAGACTGGAACTAGAAACAGAGTATCAGAATGTTCTGCATATTTACTACCTACCCAAAAAATTTCAGGAATTGGAGGCTAGAGGCCATATTTTAGGAGCACATCAAGTTTGGGTCAGGAGCCTTCATGAGTCAGCTTATACCCATAAAGAGGGGAATGTTCCCCAAAAGGTCAGACAGGTTGGCCATCAATATTCTAGATCCAATTCACGACTACGAAGATCTAATGGTGGTTCAAAAATTGGAGATTGATGGTTATAACAACATCATCCTTGAGGCGCGGATGGACAGTAACCAAGTGAGGGTAGCAAAGGACCAAGCCCCAAGATTTATAATACATAGCGACGTAACCAGTATTATCATCTATCCGGATATGGATAATACCGGCTATGAAAATATAACAAGGCAGTTTGCTTCGCGAAAATTATCAGTAGCTCTGACAGAGAGTCGTTATCCTCGTCAAAAGGATATTTTGGAAAAGTTGATGCAGTTAAAGGATAATCACTGAATGGAAGTGGACTTACCACCATCAGCAGGAATCCAAGAAAAGGCTGACAAAAGTCTCGATATTGAAATCCAAGGCCAAAAGAGGTGCGTGACACGGGAACAAGCTCAAGTGATTAGATTTTTAGACGATGACAATATAAGAGTTTTAGCGGTACAAGCACCAACCGGCACGGGGAAGACCGACGTGATCGCATTATACCTCCTAAAGTTAATGGAAACGTTGAAAGGAGCTGTGCTTGTAACAGCTCCCACGAACTTAGCGGTACAGGAGATCACGGAAAAGGTGTTAAACAGATTCGTACCAAAGACAGCCGAAATATTGTTTCTGCAATCAGTTGCAAATGAAGTTTTGCTTCAGCAAACAGGCAAATAGTTGTGGAAGAGGTGTAGGATTCCAGAGGTTTTGCAGGCCCATGCCGATGAAAAGGTAGAGGAGGCAAAAACAAAATTCGTAAAACAATATCTAAAAAGAAGGCTACTGCACGATGGGAATCCTTATCATGAGGGAGAGGCGCTTCGAACCGCATTAGAAATACAACAACCAAAGTTGATTTGTGGCACAGTGCCAATGATAGGAATGTTGCTGCAAGTCTGGGAACAAAACTTTGATATGGACCAATTGAAACATTTGGTGGTTGATGAAGGGGGTTTGTTGCCTGATATGTTTTTCATGGCTATGATAGCCAGTTCACCTAATATTGAAAGAGTTTTAGTGACTGGTGACCAGTACCAGTTGCCTCCTTATACAGGTGCGCTCCCGGTCACGATCGTATCTCTAGGACATGAATGCGCGATCGAGAAGCTTATCGGCAACTTAGCTTTCAGGTATGTGTCTTTAAGTAAGAATTTTAAGAGTCATCCAATTGTAGTTGAGGCATTGTCGGTAGCTTCGTACAACTGGCAATTAGTTCCGGGAAGAACTGTACAAGAACAAAAGCAGTGGAGAGTGTTAGGATTTCCCTCCTCAAATGACAGCCTCCCAATCCTTATGCTACAAATTACGGGATGGGAACAACTCGCCTTGGAAAGAAGCTGGTCGAAAGACCTCCACAATGAGGCGGTTGTGAGACTGAGGAGGTTTATAGTGGACAAAATTCTTTCAGCCCGAATTGTAATTTTATGTTACCACTCGGCCTCGCTTGCATAAATCTCCGCACTGGACCCTGAGAGCAAAGTATCTAGTATAAATCGTTACCAGGGTCGCGAATGCGACTTTGCGATCATAGTTACAACGAGGGTATCTCAGGAGAACGTTTGCCAGAACGTTGATTTTGTTCTTGACCCACGACGGACGACAGCCGCGCTGTCTAGGACACGAGAAGGGGTCTGTGTCATCGGGGATATGGAACTTCTGAGGCAGTCCAGTGTATGGAGGCGGTACATAGAGCGGTTCCGAGTTTCATCTAGTAAACTAAATCTATTTTATGAATGGATAAAGAGGTACGAGCACCAAAAATACGAACAAAAATCTTACTTCAGTTAAGACGTGAGTTATTTTAAATATGGATAGTGTTCCACTGTTTACTAAAAAATATTTTTTCTTTTGGTTTTTCAGTCCAGTTAATTTTAAACACTCATTTGTTCTTTTTCTTTTATTTCTTCTTTTTACAAATTTTTTATTCTTTTATCCCTCATTTTTCAAGGATATATGGGCCATTCCACGCCAAATCGCACAATTTTGAACCTCGGCCTCTCAGATTTTTTTCACTTTTTGCCAGCTTGTAGCACTTGTTATCCGATTTCGAAAT